GAAAAGCAAATAAGAGAGGGCCTTATCCTGTCATTCTTCCTTTTTACTCCTGATTACTCATTAGAATTTTACTTCTTAGTTAAAAGCTCACTCCTAAAGTTGGATTTATAGTTTTAAAATACCATATCTTCTGGATGGCAAATAACCAAGCCCTGAATACATCTTGTTAGTCCTAGTTTTGCAAAAAAACCTACTGGAGCATTCTATACCTGACTTTAACATGTCAGATGCTTCAGGTGGTTTAAATGAACATGGACTTTGATACCCTTCTCTTGTCTGTGAGGCAGTGCATGTGCCCTGTTAAAACCTAGCAGTTACTCAGAAGGGAGATAATGAAGTAAATGCATTGAGATCACTTGTCTCACTCTTCTCTACAAACTATTCTTGTTCTGTTGGTGAAAAAAAAAAAATAATTTCCTAGTTACCTTTTGCATTACTGAAGTTATGACTTTTTGAATTACTAGCAAAGAGGAATATATTTAATAAAAGCTAATTAATGTTATTTTCAAAACATTGCCTGATGTCTCTTCTGGCAGCACAGTTTAGTAAAGGCAAAGTTGATGAAGTTCTGTTTTCATTTACCCTGTAAATTCAGAGTAACTGCAGACAGCAGCAGTGTAGAAAATGTCCCATTCGTGATAAATTAGCTGCATGTGTTGGATCTTATGAGTCACATTACTGAGCAACTCTCCAAGGAAGACCCAAAGATTAAGACCTTTTCCCTTTCTTATTCTAAGGGTTTTGTGTATCCAGCAAAATTTAGTCCTAAATTATACTGACAGTTATTTGTTCATCAGAACTGTCACAGGATTGCTTTCTGACTGCTACTTGGTTGTTATCAGTTTTCTTACTGTGTTCTGCTTCAGCTTTTGGGGTGTATTTAAAAAAACTTCTCTGTCTTTCTAAAATGTATGTTGGAATTAGGCAAAAACTAAAGAGCACGTATACAGAAAGTGTATTCTGAATTCTGGTAGGTTTTTGTTTTAGTGTGTAGGGTGCAGCTTCCAAACTTTGTGACCAAATAATTCCAGATGTGATTAACATGGGCAGGTTGGGGTCCAGCATCTGCCTTCAGTCTGATGCACAGAAGGGGAATTTAGGGGAAGCAGAAGTCAGAATTTCTGTTTTTAATCACAGGGGTAGAATTATTTGGGCCACCAAAGCTGCCATTTTGCTAGTAGTTTACCTTTTAGTGATACAGTCTGAACTGGTTAGTCACTTTTGAGACTGTATCTGTTGAAGGATATGAACAGCTGGCCCTGTGCAGTAAAGTGAAGACAACTGCCAGCATTAACACTATGTAAGTGGCATCTCATGGTTCCAGAGGAGCAATTCTTTCATAATGTGCCCTGTAGTGACTGGATTAATTGTCAAATCTGATCTGTCCTTGCTCAGGAGTGTAAATATGCAACTAGAAGATGAAACTAAAGTCATAATACTTGTGAGATCTATTAGATTTGCTTACCTTGAACATTCCTGTAATAAGATCCTCTATTAAAAGCCGTTAGTAGCAGTATATGAATCATAGTTTCATAGAATGGTTTGAATTGGAAGGGACCTTTAAAGGTCATCTAGTCCAACCCCCCTGCAATGAGCAGGGACATCTTCAACTAGATGTCAAATGTCAATTTTATGTCAAATATGTCAATGTTAGGGAATACTGTGACAACATTTTCTACGTGTGGTGTAAAGTATTCTGGTTATGATAAGTGAAGATACCCGTGTTTATCTATTCAGAGACAAAAGAAGAGGTTACTGTGTCTGAAGGCTCTTAAAAAAAAAAATTATTCAAGTTAGCTATATAATTGCCTGTTTCATGCGATTTCAATGTTAAATTAAATAGCTTTTATTTAAATTTATGCCAGGTTCTATTACAGTCAAGGTACCTGCCTCTCTCAAAGCCTATTTACAGTTGTCTGGAAGAAAAGTGGATGTGAGCTCAGAGATCCAGTTAAAAGAAACACAAAGTGCTTCCAAAGACGATCACGTAACCATAAGTGGTAAGGCTTACTAATCTTGGCTGCCAATAAATGTCTGTCTGGCCTTAGTCAAAGGCATCTATGTTTCCTTATGAGTTTATTGCTCTTGGCTTTCCTCTGTTTCAAGTTCAAATGTTTGCTTGTGCCATTCTACTCCCCATGTTACTAGATGACTCTTTAATTTTGTTTGGTAAATGACTTGTGAAAGCAAACAACTGCTTCTCTAACAAAAGTCTTAGAGCCAGATTCATCCTCAGCATTATTCCAGTGAATTTGTGGGAGTTAATCCAGGGCTGAATTTGACCCATTGCTTTGTTGGCTTAGACAGTCACACATTAATCGCCAGGGAACATCTATTAAAAATATAATGAAAAGTTTTCTCTTTCTGTCTCTGTTGGGTAGGAGGGGGAAGTAAAGGGGCTATATGGCATATTTATAAATGTTAAACAGTGCAGGATAGGCTGAAAAAGATGGGTTGAGAGACAGTGAGGAGAAGAGCAGAAGAAGCTCAAGCATGGGGTAATAGAGAGTACACGGAAAGGTGCCTGCAATTACTTGTAGCATTCTTCTAATCCCAAGCCTTGCTGTTTCCTGCTTTAGAAAACAGTTGTAGAATTTATTGTCAGGGTGTGTATTTCTCTCTTCTCCGGACGTGTCTTTCTAGAAGTTGAGGCTGTTGCTGTTACCAATTACTCAGTTTGCACAAGAGGAAACATTAACGTAATGTGTCGAAGGCTCCAGCTTTGTTTTGAACGTGTTATGTCAGTGTGACCTGATACGATAGCAGATTGGATGACGCTTTGAGTTTTTCTTTGGTTTTAAACCTAAGAAAATATGCAAAAAACTTCTTTTCCTCCCTCATGTAAGATGATGATCTTGAAGTCAGGAAATGTTAGAAATTGTATGTATGTAACTTTAATATGTAGCCTGCTTATATAAAATAGTAGTCTGGAAATGTATAGGTGTATCTTTTCCTGTCTTTAACAGTAACTAGCATTTAAATTTACTAGTGCTTATTAAATACAATTTAAAAAAAAACCCAAACAGTTAGAAGTTCTCAGACTGGAAAAATCTGGAAGGATCTCAGATTCCAGCAAGGCTCTATGGAATGAATCGCCTCAGCAGTAAAATAGCACATCTACCATTGAGTGAGGACCACTGGCCAGTCAATCATCTTGTTATTCTGGCAACATTAAAGACAAGAGCAGAGTTTCAAATATACACAGCTGAATGGCTGCTCTGGTTTCACTGCCCAGTCAGTGTTTCTGCAGGACAGTCATTGCTGAAGCAGATGGAATTTTTCAACCCACCATTCTGTATGGAAATTATCTTGGCAGTTAAGGCCAAAGCATGTCTGATTAGTTAATCCTCAAGTATACATATCCCAAAGGCATGGCAATCAGCAAGAGTTATGCAGAGGCATTAGGCCATTGATTTAAAGGGGTTACAGCATTGCACAAAAAATACCTTAAACATAAATCGTAATTGATCATAATACAGGTGAATAAAAAATAGACCCTGGAATGGATTTTTTGCAGGATACAATTCAGCTAAAGTAGTGCTGGCCTGAAGTAATGCAGTTGGTTTTAACGTGTGCTTTGCTCCTTTTGTTACCCTTTTGAGAACAGTGCCTCCTTTTTCTTTCCCAAGTCAGTAACATCCCTTTGGCACAGCAAGGACATGCTTCCTGCTTCTCCTTCTCTTTACTTTATCCCATGGGGACAGTGTATGCTTTCTGCAGGCCAAGCACTTGTCCCCTCATTCTCAACAATCTCTTCTTAAAGTTGATATTTGAGAAATTTCTTGTACAAGTAGATTCTGAAATAATTAAAAATAATTTAATACTGTTTCTATATCTTGAAAACATTATCCACTCTTGGAGTTCTAGGTACGGAGTCTTTAGCTGTCCTTCTGCTGCAGCTAAAGAAATAAAAAATGGAGAGAGAAGAGGGGTTTTGCCAAGTGGAAAAAAACTCTGTATCACAAGAGCATGGCAGTTTAGATTTTCATGCTTCTGAGCTCAAAGGTTAGTTTAAAAATAAATGATTTTTCAGAAACTGGCCCGTTCTCATGTGGATAAGACAGGAACTGGCTGCTTTCAGGAAGCTTTACTTGCCTCTGGGAATATTGTGAGAGATGTTAGAGAGGAGGCTTTCCAGTGGGAAGACAGGATCCAGTTCTATGACTTGGGTAAACATGCACTTAAGCCTGTCACCTGCTCTCGGAAAGCCTCCCCTACTGCTATTACAGTGGTGATGATGTATGTCATCACCTTGCTTCATGGCTCCCATTTCCATGCTGAGTGGGGAAGTCAGTACAGTACAGTCCCACAAGCAGTCACATCCAGGGTTTTGCAAGGTAGCCAAGAAACAGAGCGGGAATTAGTCAAAGCAAGAAGGTGAAAGCCTGGAGTGAGCACACTAGAGGCAGAGTAATGAGGATGTGAAAAGGTGTTTTGCTCTTCTAGAAAAGGAAGGGACTTTTCCTGCAAAACTGGGACACTTGTCAAGAAAGGGAAGGGAGTAGAGAACAGTGCCAGGGAGTTTACTCTTCAGTCATTTGCAAGGGTAAGGCATCTGTTTCCATTGACATCAGCAGTGTTATGTATGATTTAACAAAACCTGCTATAAAAACAGATTTTTCATGTTAAGCGCTGGTCCAGCTTCTATCTGTGAAAGCATTTGTTCAGTTGTCTAGTTTGAGAGTGCTTGAGTAACTCCAGTAATTTCTGATGACAACCATGTCAAGGCATTCTTCTCCTTTCCCTGGCAAAGAGGGCAGGAAGAGAGGATTCTGCTTAGCCCTTGCTGCTCGATGTCTGTGCCTTCCCATGTCTCCAGATCTGCCCATATTCTTAAATCAGCTGACTGAAGAAGGCTGTAGAGATGATTAGTTGTATCCAGAACTATATATGGGAAGAGGAAGGGCAGCAGGCTAAAAAGTGTCAAATATTCAAACAGAAAAGGCACTTAGGAGACTCTTGTGCCAAAGGCATTACAAACTTTGAAGTGCAGAGTTAAAATTCAAATAATCTTGATTTATATGCTTTTTAGGCCATTTTTTCCAATAAGTTCTTTTACGTTGAAAGTATGAAGATAGGAAGAAATTACCTGTGTGGTCCTAAGAGGAGGAATATTTAAATTAAAACATTAGTAAACAGGAAACAACAATGTTACACAGTTGCAAAAAATAAGCATTGTATCAACATGACTGTTCTGTAAAACTCAAAATAATCACTTGGCTTTACACAACGTTAGTAATACTTTGCTGGAAGGTGTCCAGTTTTGAGTACTGTACTTCAAAAAGGATGTGGACAACTGTAGAGACTCTGAAGGGGAACACATGATCAGAGACCTAAAAACATAATTTATGAGGGAATACTGAAAAAAAGTGTTGTTTTTCTCTAAAGAAGAGAAGACTGAGGGAGGATAAGATGTGCTTTTCCAGTACGTAAGAAATTCCAGCGGAGATGAAAGAAATAAATTGTTCTTTGTCTGCTGGTGGAACAACTAGAAATTATGAGTTGATCTTATGGTAAAGAAAACAGCTAAATAGTAAGATAAACTTTCTGGTAGTAAGCACTTGTCTGGTAAGGCCATAGGACTGTCAGTACTGCAGACTGTGAAGAGCAGGCTAGGCAAGCATGTCAGGTTAAATACAGTGCATCCTCAGGAGGCTGCTTTCAGCCCTGTTTTCTATTGTCCTAAGTTAATGTGACCATCTGCTCCCACCCACTCCTCAGTAACTCAAGGGTGGATGAATCTGGGGACTAAGTGAATGCAGCCAGTGGGCACGCCTCCGCCCACTTCCATTGCCAGCTTGTGTGTTGACAACTGTAAGCTTGTTGGAAAAAATATTGCAATCGTTCAGAGACTTTCTTTGGATCCTTATAGCTGGTGATGTCTATTTCCAAATCTAATTGGAATATAACCCCTTTCTTTACACCATGTAAATCTTGTGTCTCTGAGTGGTTCCAGGGACTCATCTGATTCCAGATCTTTCTCCATCCCTGGCCTCAATTCTAGTGCCAAGTTGATATCCAGCAGCAACCTTTGACCTGATGCCATCCATCTGGTTGGTGCCAAGGGAGCTTTTAACTTTGGCAGTCACTTACTCCATCTGGTTTTCAGCACTTGCATGAGTTTCCTTGGTAGAAGTCCCACAGTGTCACAGGTGCTCCTCAGGGGCCATGATGTTTGTCTCTTAGGTTATTTTGTCTCCCTATTCTTACTTTCTCAAGCTGGCAAACCAACCTCTGTATTTTTCTGTCCTCTTACAAAGAACGTAGTTTTTGGAAATGATTGTCTTCTTGCAAGTTGAGACATTCTTGCTCCCTGTTTCATCCAGCATGACAACAGCAGTTGGAGCAGTTAACAGGATTTTTAGCTTTTGGTACTAATCCCACCCCATCTACAGTGCTAGAGTTTTCCTGAGCCACATCTGAACAGTGTTCAGAGCTTTGCCTTCTGGTGACCGTGCACACAGGTAATGGGGCTCTCTTTCATGTTAACTTATGCCTTCCCTCAGATATCTCTCCTCAGGATGGAGAGGAATCTTCTGTTGTCTTCTCTAACTCCTTTTCTCCTGTGAAAGTTTCCAGGTAGATATTGCCTCTACCTTATAGGTTAATCTAGCATCCAAGTATCCTTTTGATCACTAGGAACTCTTTGTATGGCCTTTCTCCTCATGTGCCTCTGCAGAGAAGTCGGCCCATCTAATTACCAGATTCTGTTGAAAAGATGGACATTGATACCACTGTCCTACCTCTGACTTTTTGAGTTCCTCTTAACTTCAGTTCTTTTCACCCTGTTTGGTTCTCCAGGTAGATTGTAGTGAGAAGCACCTTTCTCCTTACAACAGCCATTCACTTTAGCATGCACTGAAATAAGACTTTCATGTTTGCCAGAGGTTTCCCCTCTGGAACACAGGGGATTTAGCCATGTGTTTCCTGCCTTCAGGGATAACTTATTTCTCACTGCTCACACAATGGCTCCTTGTCCAGCAGTACTGGGAGAGTGACCTGTCAGGTGCTGTGGACTTACCCTGTAGGATTGCTTCAAAGCCAGTGTGCAAGGAGGGAGCTGAATGCATGAATCTCATACACTACATGGAAGGCTTTATGGATGTGTTTCGCTGTTTTTGTTATTAGAAATTCTATATTGTCTCCTTTAAGGTCACATCTGTGGTGTGTAGCTGCCTGGAGTTCCAGGGTTAAGGACAAACACAACTGAAGGGGCAGCAAATAATGTGAGGCAAGCAACTTTCCTTTAAAAAGGAAATAACTGTTAGAGCTTGTATTATGGCAGTCTGCTGAAAATTAAGTTTCTTCTGAAACTTAACAGCTGTCGAAGTAGCGCTCCTTCTCCCACTGTGCAGCTGGCTTGGGTCTGTTGCGTTCAGAGTTACGGTTCTGATCCCAGGAGTAACACTATCCGCTGCCGTGTCCCTCCCTGTTTTCTCTGTTCTCAAGGCACTTCAAAACTTCCCTGCTTTCCTAGAAACAATTGTTATTGACTCTTTGCCACTAGAATTGAGTGGGAAGAGCTTTGTTTTACAGTGTCCCTCTAAACGCTGTACCTCTGTGAAGTCTTGATCCTTAAGCAGTATCTTAAAAAAACAAACAAGACACAGGTTGTATCTGGAAAAGATTACATTCCTTCCAGTCAAATAGAGAGTTCATCCAGCTTTTATAAAATGCATTAGATGAGATGCTATCCTACAGATTTTTATTGGTTTCAGCTTGCATTTAACTCGAGCTGTTCACAGCCTTTTTGAGATATACCACAGTCCTAACGCTACCAGTGAAAAACGTTTCAAATATGCTCATCTTCATGTGGTTTGTGATATGAAAATAGAGCGCTCTATTTGTTTGCCTTGCTGGAGACTGGAGAAGTTAAACAGTCAGTACTTCACTGCATAATGTTCTGCAAAGATGTTCTCTGCCTTTAGGCATACATGGCAAAAAAACAAAACAAGCTTTTTCCTGGGCGTTAAATTGGAAAAGTGGCCACTCAGGCTGTTGGCTTTCGTGATTTAATCATGGTAGCAAAGTCATCCTCAAAATCCACTTATGTTCCCACAGTATTCAGAGTACAGGCAGTGAGTACAGTTAAGACCAAACTGGCATCAAAAGGCCTCCAACTAAACCTTGTTGCTTGATTACCGCCTCATGTACAAAGCTACTTAAGTATCTTGAGCTTGACTTGAACCTGCTACTGGCGATAGGCTTAGTGACCTTAAAATAGTTTGAAGATCTTCATCCCTAGGGAATGGAACTTGACACTCACTTTCCTGCAGGCAGTTTGGTATTTTCAGCATTCCCTTCACAGGCAAATCTCCAAAAGAAGCAGAAGGAACAAAACATTTTTCTAAGTTCACATAGCAAATGCAAAATGAGAAACAGAGCTCAGACAACAACTGAGCTTTAAACCAGCTCTTGTTAATTTGGTTCTTTGTTTCTTCAAAACTCTTCAACTTTTTAGCAAAAGTGTAGCAGGGTGTACGTAAGCAGTGCATGAAACTCTTCATTTGCAGGGATGATTCTGTGCTTCAGTGTTTGTTCCTTGTACCAAAGTACAAGCCATAGTGACAAAAACATGAGAGAGGGGAACTGGGATTTCCATTTTCTGGAAATGTATCTCTGCCCTATTTATTGTGTCCTCTCTCCTTAGGAAAAAAAAGCTGTATTTTCAGTGTTCTACAGCTGTTAAGGGATCAACTCAAATTTTCCTTTACACTTCTTGTGGTTCATTTTTTTGATACCAGGAGGCCATTTCCTGTTTAAAATTCAGGAATCATGATCCAATGTTTTAAGAGCTACCTCTACTTGAAAGATAGATTTTGGTTTCATTTCTGTGTTCTCCGACACGCTACTATTGCAAATTGATGATTCGGGAAAGCTTTCTGATGAACGAAGTCTCGGATTTTAACAGATTTCTCATACAACCCATTTGTTCAACTTCATGATGATCATCACAGCTTTAAGTCCATATTAGATGGGGAGCAGAACTGTGGATTCTGCCTTACAGTAGGAATGATATTGAGAATGAGTGTGATTGAGATTGCTGTCTGGAGCAATCAGGAGTGCAGAAATTGTACTAGGACATCCACATGGAGATCCTTGAAGGCACGTTGTAGTTTGATAACAAAGGACACTGCAGTACCTCTTCATCCATCAGTGTTGGACTCCTCTGAAAACCCCATACTTCTAAACAGTACCTCAGCCTGCTAGTGAATTGACGTGGGTTTGGCCCATAACCTTAAATTAATCACACTTAGAAGTACCAAAGCGCTGAAACGCTATTGAAAAGTTCTGGCACGTAGGGTTGAGTTGTGGAAAGCAATGCAGTGATGTCAGCTGGAGTTTTGCCACTGGTTTTGACGTGGCCAGAATTTAACTTCAGCTGTGTTACAGGTCAGAGCAGAGCATGTTTGTAGAGTTGCTTCAGAATCTGCTTCCCTGCCATCCCTCATGCTATTCCAGGCTCAAATTGGTTCTAAACTTAGAATTTACTCAGTCACACGAATGCTAAAATAATAATAAAAGATATTTTGTAAAGATAAACCAAAGTGAAGGTTGATCTTGTGATAAAGGCACTGATTGGGGTCTTAAAAGATCACAGTTTAATTCCCAATTTGGTCATAAATCTTCTCTATAAATTTGGAAGGTCACTTATTCTCTCTTGGCCTCGGTTTCTGAATTGTAAAATGAGGGTAAGTTGAACTTTCTCCTTTGTCTGTTACACAGCGAGCTGTTCAGAGCGTGACCATGCACACTAAGTTTGTGAAACATGTAAGACAGACATCTTAGGGTGGTTTCTTATGTCATTATCATAAGAAAGCAGTAATAGTAGCAACACGACTCGTCATGTGGAAAATCAGGTCTTACCCATGTCTCTTCCTCCATGCTTGCAATAAAGATAAAAACTTTTCAAATTACTTAGGTTAATGTCTTATTTCCTAGCCCATAATAAAAACTTGGGACTATATAATAAAAAAACACAACTTCATTGTAAATGTAGACTTATTTCCTAGCCCATAATAAAAACTTTGGTACTATATAATAAAAAAACACAACTTCATTGTAATAACATATTATGGGAAATGAGATTAATGCAAAAAACTGTATCAAGAATGAAATGCTGGAAGCCTCTGTTAAAAATATATTTGTTCTACTAAATAAAAGTCTTAAAAGTATTTCTAGGGAGCTTGAAAAAAGGTGATGTGAAGATGATATGTTTACTGTGTGTCATATTAAACTAAACAGAACTCTCTTTTCCAGGTCACATGAATCAAAAGAATGAAACAGACAAATGGATTAAGGCTGACACACAAAATGGCAAAGTATATCTTAAAAGCCAAAGCTGGATCCAGTCTGTCAAGCTGAAGAATTCTTAAAGGTGAAATAGGCCAAAGAGATTAAATCAAGAAATTGTAAAGGAACATTTCTGTAAAATTATGAAACTTTGTAGATGTATGTTCATAATATAAGAGAGAAACAATATTAAAAATGAGGGTGTTTTAACCCAAGATTTGCCTGTGACAGTGGCTGGTGCTTAACAGGTCTGGTTTTCTTTTAGTGCCTTTTAGGAACGACAAGATCTTACCTATTCAGAGTTTGTATAACTTGACCCCCTTATCGCATGACTTTAAAGGTAGTAACTTTGAAACAAAAGGTTAGAGTCATCATTTAAAAATAAAAAGCACTTTCAGCCTCTGTTAGTTGAAAATACAAAAATTTGCTTCCAAGATGACATGCTTTGTCAGCTATTTTATATTTTTTAATTAAGTGTCTCAGTACTGTGGGAATTCTACTAGTTTATGCAAAATGCAGAGAATTTTCTTCAACCAATTTTTTTGCATTGGGGATAGGATAAAGCTACTTTCAGAATTGTAGTTCTTACTTGGTCTTCTTGTTTGGTGTTTGGCCTATAAGCAGTTTCTGCCTTATCAATGGGTACTGTGTTTAAAACTACTTCTATGAAATGACAGAACTTGCTCCGTGTCGTGCTGAACCACTTATTGGTGTATATAAATAAGAACTGTAGCTCTGTCTACCCCTGTCCAGTTGCAAGGAAAAGCTTTTGAAATAAATACTCAAAAGTGCAATGGGTTTGGCTGATTTTAAGGAGGAACACTCCACCCAACTGGACTTCAGATAAGTCCCCACATGAACATTCCCCTAAAGTAAAAGCTACTAAAGAGTGGAAGTATTGGGCTAATAAATGAGAACTGTAATCTGTTTATTTGATACATTTCCAGTGAATTACTGTCAGCCTTGCATGATGGGACTGTCAGCTCTTGGAGGCAGAAAGGCAGAGGAGGGAGGTGAGGGAATTGTGTAGGCTCTGCACAAGGGCATACATCATTATTGAGGAGGATTTTGTGTTGCCGTCATACAAACACACAGTAAAGTAAATGGAGCTTTCAAAAGCCTTTCCATACATATCATAGACTGGTTTGGGTTGGAAGGGACCTTAAAGATCATCCAGTTCCAACCCCCCTGCCATGGCAGGGACACCTTCCACTAGACCAGGTTGCTAGCATCTTATAAAAGAAGTACTGAAATTTGGTGGTTTAAAACTGAAATATAAGAATTCTGGCCAACTGAGTGGAGAGTAGCACACTGAGAGTCAGCTCAGGTTTTAAGTTGTGTATATGTGTGTATGTACTTTAGATTATAATGGTACATTATGAAATGAACTTCTCCTTCCCCACAGGATTCCTCAAGAGATATAACTGCCCCTGGCTAATAGACTTCAGTAGTCAAGGGCAGCACTTTTACTATAATTCAGGGTGGTTAAAAACTCCACATTCTGTTTGCTGTTGTGTGTACTGTTTATTTGGATGAGATGGGCACTATGTGTATGGCAAATTATATGTATTTTTAATATAAACACTAATATATGAAACATTACTAATATATTACTAAAAGCAATATAATATTACTAGTTCTTAGTAATTATACTTTTAAAAGCTGCAAAATTTATAAATGTGTAATGGTTTTAAATTTCATGAAAATTCTTTGAAACTAATGATTTCTGTGCACTGCTGCAGACAAAGTGAAAGAAGCACCTCTAAATTCACACTGCATTGAAAAATAAAAACAGGGCACAAGATATTTCACAGAATCGAGTCCATTTAATGGTTCCTTTTTTCACCCAGAATACAAAGCCTGTCAGCCTCTGTGACTAAGGTGGTGCTTTTTGGGACTGCTGCACCAGCAATTTAAGGGAGAAAATAGTAAGAAAGCATGTTATTTCTTCCATGTTCAAAAGAAAGCAAACTAAGGCATCCATATTCTACAACTAGCTGGAATTACACATTAGGATTGCTGGTTACTTGCTTGAAGAAGTTTAAATAAGTCATCAGAAAAATCCTGCTACCACTAAAGCTATTCTGATTATATTCTTTCCCAGCTAATGAACATTGAGACCAGCAAAAACTTTAACATAAAGGTCAAGAATGAGCTGAAGAAAGACAAATCTTTTGGGAGTTTCCCAAAGGCATCTGAGTAATGTCTTGTTCTGCTATAATGAGGTTAAACTTTGTATTTTTCTGTAGACGAGGAAAGAGGAGTGGGTTATCGTTAATTAGGATTTGAATGGCAGATCCCATGTCTGCTCCTTTTTCCTCTTTTTGTCCATTTGATGAGAAGACATGTTCTTGTAATTAGAGAAAATATTTCCTTTAACACTTTTCTCATCTGTGCTCCTTTTCATTTGAATCTCCTGCTTCCATCAGCTGCCGGCCAGCCCACAGTTCAGATCTGCACATGTAAACATCAGCTTGCTTAAGAGAGTTGAACTCAGCCTGAGAGGAACAGGAAGGCTATAGTAGCTGTGCAGTTCCCTATCTCTATTTTCTTCTTTGAACCTCCAACTATTTTTACCCTTTCATGGTTCACCTTCTGCTTTCTTTTTGTATAACCTTTCCACTTACAGTTATCTTCCATCACCCACCTCTTTTTAAAGCGTATTATTTCTGAAACTAAATGGAATGCTCAACAGGCCGTGTTGCAGAGCCGTGCTGTTACCTGCACTGGCCCCGAGCTCACCCCAAGGCTGTGTTTTGCAGCCTCTGTGATAGCTGAACCAGAAGAGAATTGCTTATGTGGTCTGAAAACACCCATGACCCCACTGATCTCCCTCAGCATTTTGTGGCCACTGCCTCTTTGTAGCAATAGAACATAAAAGCAATGAACTAGAGCAAAATGACACAAAAATAGGAGAAAAATCAGGCCTGCTGAGTGAGACACCCTGAAAAGAAGCTGACGAGCAACTTTCTCCTCTCCCTCCTCTCCCTCCTCTCCAGGCAGCTCCTCACCAGCAACTTTTCCTGCCTTCCCAAGCTGAAGAAACTCAACCCACCATTTTCAGTATTTTGAACATCTCTTTCTTTCCATCACTTCTGCAACTTGGCCACCAGCCCGATCCCAGCTGTGCAGAGCACCCGCCTCCCCCAGCCTCCCCCCGTCGCCAGCTCTTGCGCTCCAGAAAGCTCCTCTGGGCTGAGCCTGCTCGTGTGCTTGTTGGGGAAGAGCCAGCTCTCTACATCTCCCGTCCTCTTCAGGAGATTCAGCCTGATCTGGTGTGTCAGGGCTGCAGCAAGTAGCCCTTCTCCCTGCTAGACAATTTCCTGAGCTCTGTAACAGAATAGAATATATGGCATCTAGACATTAATAGAAAAAATACCCAAATTAAAGTGGTTTCTTATGTGCCAGTAATGCTACTACAGTATTAGTAAAGTTGTTGGGTTTTTTCCCAAAGTGAAACCACAGAAGATGGTTACAGAAGAGACAGACAGGCACTGCTGTAATTCTTGCACCACTGCAGCAGGAAAGGAGCAAAGCGTGCAAAAGGGACAAAATTAGTGAAGCAAAAAGGGCTCCTTTTCAACCTCTGCAGGATTATTATTTTTTTTTTTTTTAAATCTAACAGTGCTACACTGTATGAACCACAGGAACACAAGGCTGTATCTGTTTTTATACTGGGGAGGCCTGTGCCATTGAGGAATGTGTGCACAATTTATATGAGCTATAAGCTCAAAGCTATAAAATAAAAATCAACTCATCCAACTCCAAATTCCTGTTTTTCATGGAAACTGCAATGTATGGTGGCTGTCTGAAGCATGTATAAGGGGAGCTGTTACTATTTTTTTGGAAACATATGCTGTCCCTTGCCTGGAGCTACAGTTGATTAGTTTGCCAGAAACAGCCATTCATTAATCATCAACACATGGCAAAACAGATCGTTTATTTAAGATATATGGTATGATGATAGAGCCTGCTTATTTATTTATATAGTGTCTTAAATGGGCACATTGATTAATAAAAGCATTTCAGCAAGTACTTACAATTTTCTTTGGCAAAGCAAGTATCTCCTGGTATAAGTAAGTCAGACAAACATACTGGCCCAAACACATTGCTTGAGCAGCACTGGAATATCTAATTGAATCCTTACCCAAAGTTTCAATCTCTTTTAATAAGAGGGGCTAGCTAGGAAATACAGTTCTGCATCACGGTCTGAATCCTGAGCCATTCCGAAATTCAGAAATGATTGACTGGTTCCATCATAATAAAAAGCAGAGGTTTTGAAAAAGACTTTTTGAGATGAGGTTACCAGAAAACCAATCAAAAGTAAAAATTAATGGAAAATAAAAACTTAAACATGGGAGAACTGTTTAGAATGCAAACATGGGAGAAATTAAGCCGAAGAGGCAAGTGGAGGTAGGCAGCTAATGGGAAAAGCAGAAAGCATCGTGCAGGCATGCTCCAGGTTACAAACAGTGATAAGACCACATAAAATCTGAAGTATTCTGAGGTCTATGTCAGCTGCAGTAGTTGTGTATTTTTATGGTATCCATTTCAAGTGCACTTGATGGCTGAACCATGGCACTCCAAGAGCCTCCCTGTCACTTCTGAGGAGCGATTTACAGACAGTGAAAAGTCAGTACTATGATACTTTTGTTGATCCTTCAAGAGAAAACAGCAATTATTCTTAGTCTTTTACCAAGTCATTGTGTAGCCTGTCTTCGGTTCCAATGACATGTGTGTTGGACTCCCAAATCCTTCCTGTCTTGAGACCTGAATATTTGGATAATACTTAAGCAATTCGGCTTTTTCAAGAAAAGAGAGTCCTTGCAATCTCCTTTCTAACCAACAGCAACCATCAGAAAACACAACAACAACAACAACAATCCTCAAAATGAGAATGTTCTCCAAATTCAGATGTAGCTATTAAGTCCCAATGTAATTTCCATTTTAAAAGGCAAACATTTTAGTAGTATTTGTTGATGAGTTGCTTGTTAATAGAGTAGTCATGAGTTTAAAAGCATTGTCAGTGGTTTCATATTAGTGCAGACAAGAAAGAAGAAAGCATATAATTCTGCTCTCAAAGAACAGCTTTTGGTGGAACCAAACTGTTACAGATGAGAAGAAGTTTGGTGAGAGCAGAGGGCTGGCTGGCAAGGGCTTCTCAAAGCCACAGCAGATTTCCTGTCTCATTTTGCACCCAGAAATGTTAACAGAGTGCCACACCTTTCCCAGCACTGCAGCTGACTTTAAATGGTATTTGCATTTTGAAGTTTAAGGAGAATGTTCTACAGGGAAGTGTTTCTCTAAAGATGCCAGGGTGTTATTTCTTGTAGGATGAGTCCCAAGTGAAACACAAACAATACAACCTTTTCCTACAGAAGCCACATTTTAAAAAGCAGTCAGTCAGCTTTCTTTTCCTCTAGTAGAAAAAAGTAATTGTACCAGTATCATCTACTCCCACAGGCAGATTATTCATGATTCTTTATGACATTTAGAAATGGGATTAATTGAAAGGTCTTCAGTCTTTGGATACAGAAATATGCAGCAAGATATCAAGCCATAGACCTTTATTTATTTCTAACATTTAATAAACCTGGAACCAGGCTAGTATGCTGCAAATATAATCTCAAATGCTACCTGATACTGGAAAGAATGGAGAATTTATATGCTTGTAACTGTTTCCTATGAAGCTGCATTGGACTGAAACTTGAAGAACTTTGTGGCTCCATATGTTTTCTATTTTAATCTAACGAAACAGTAAAAAGAAAACTTAAAAAGAATGTGACACAATACAATAGATATGCCTCAATATTTGCAAGGCTCAGTCTATTAAGAGATGTCTGCTAGAACTGGTTAGTGTTTAATAATAAATAATGGAGAATTGCTTTGGCAAAATGGAAGTATACATGATTTATAGATTTTGTAGGGCAGCTTTAATCTAAAACCATATTTCTTCTATTTGGAACCTAAGCCACTAGCATGTTTAGTGCTCCAGATTAATCTGATTTTTGCATAGATGTCCCCTTCCATCTCCTTAAACAGAAAACTAAATGTCTCTGAAATGCAGGTTTCACACCTGCAGAACATAAATTACACCTGAAAACAGCCTTTCCCTCTACATTCTGTGAAAAATCTAAGAATCCAAATAAGGTTTTAAAAGTTAGTCTGAAAACAGAGAATGAGGCACTCTTGTTCGTTTTTCTGACAGTCTTTTGCTATTATTCATTACTAAAAACATACAGGTTGTGAATGAAATACACAATTCTATAAAAATATGCTGCGACATACAAGTGACAGTACTGTCATTGCTATTGATGTCATCACTGCCAAAGTTTACTGTGCTTTTGATGTAGTTATCATCAGAAAACAAACATGTCTTATCATCTTCACAATATTGGCCTTGAACTACAATAGAAAAGATTTTTCTGAAGTGGACACATATGGGATGTGGAATATATCTGAATCTAGCTGTGAACTCCTTTGTTTTCTGAATATCATTTGATCTAATGACAACTTTATTAGAGTCTGCATTGAAAAGCCACTCTGATCTTGACATGGTTAGTCTAGTCTGCACCCTGCCTAGGTCTAGGGGCTCTTCAGACCTGTTGGAAGGAACAAGCAAAAATTCTTCAGTGCTGAATTATTCTACATGGTCAATCCACCCAATGATAGTTTTTGTCTCAGACTCGAATGGCACAGGGTTGGAGTTTCCTGTTGTTGAACATGGTGCAAAGGGGTAGAAACTGAGGCTGGCAAAGAGAAGATCCATCCACCATACCAGAAAATCAGGCTCAAGAAAGTAAAATTGACAAAGTTGGTCTAGTTGTAAAAATCACAAAAAGGGCAAAGATAACACTGGGTGGAGATGTGTGTCTCATGGTTGCTTTTCGTTTTGTAAAGTTCTGTAACTCTCCAGGGCTTTCTTTACAGTAAAAATAACTGGTTGGGAAATTCCTTGTCTGTGTCAGGAGAGTTTAATCAAGATGTTTGGAGAACCCATAGCATATGGGACTCTGAGGCAGAGGCATAATCCTGGGTCACCCTGCAAAGTCTACAATAATGCAATCAGTTTTCTAAGAAGTCATGTCAGCTCTTTGATCATGGCACAACCAACATAAATTGGAACTCAAGCCAAATTTCTGTTCCTACTACATCTCACTTCTACGGGAAAATGTATAAGCAACCAGAGCCCAAAAGGGATGACACACACTTTAGGGCTCTAAATAGAGACATGAAGTCACAGAAAAAGCAAGTCAACAATGGTAATCTGGGGGTAAAAGAAAATCCCTTGAGATTTAATATGAGAAAAAGAGTAAATCGGAAAGTTATGAGGAAATTAACTGTATTTGAAATGTCTTTTTTCAGAATGAGCAGTGTAGTTCATTTAGAATATTTTTTTCAATTCATACTCTAGCATACCAATCACTTGGTATGCTAGAGTATGAATTGAAAGAAACACTTTCTGTCTCTAACAAGTATTTAATTAGAAGTAGAGGTTTTGAGATGGAAGTTCTGAAACGACATTAAGAAAACTAAGTCAGAGAGAAATAAAGAAAATAAAAGTAATGACAGAATTGTTTGTGGTGAGACAGACAGAGGGAAATAAACCAAGGAGGGTTTGGAAAGCATGAAGCACACTGGAAATAGCTTTCAAGTTATTAAGCATCTGCATTGGTCTTGTGGACTCTAAAGTGACTATAAACCCTTAAATGATTTAGCACAGAATGCGCTACCTACAGTGGTCCTGTTAGAGTGGGCTTAGAGCTTTCCTAGAATGGATACTCTATATAATATAATATCATATATTTCTTTACTGGAGTCATAAGGTTTGATTAAGTTATATACTCAGATCTATCAACTGTGCTTAAACTTTAGTATTTTCCGAACAGTTTCAGTCCCTTTGGCGTGTCTGGACACTGTGCAGTTCTAGTTGTACGGTGCCTGGTCTGTGATGCTCTTAACCCCCACAGAAGGGTGACAGACATTGGATGTGCATCTTGGAGACACACAGCTGAAAACTCAGCTCTAAACCTGACCAGAACTGACTGGCTTTTAAATACCATGGGGAATCAAGAGGCTGGGGAAGCTGGATTACATTGTGGTAGATGACCTGTTTTTTCCAATTGTAGATATATAACAACTACGTTTCACTTGTACTTCATGAAACTATGCTTAGGGTACCTTGCCTCATTTGCTGTAACCATGCTGCCTTTTGAGCACAAGCCCACATCAATGTTCAAATCTGCTCCTGCTGTACACTGATATGCAGTCATTGGGAAACAGGCTCCCACAAACCCTCAGAATGAGCTCAAGTACCTAGTGTGATGGCTGTGATGGCCCAGTCTGTTTTCTCCCTCATGTTCTCACACACCCTTGAGGAGATATCCTGTGTCTGCAGAAACTTCCTGTACAGGACATGGTCTGTCATAAAGATAGAGGGAGTCCCTATTTCCCTTCATTTCTGTCCAACACTAGAATATGTAAGTACCCCCACACCAGGCCACAGGAATCCTAGGGCAGCAGTGTGGACACCCCCTAGATAAATGAGCAAGATGGCTCAAGCCAGATATCTAGCATGGCAAGATGATGCCAATGAAGAGAAAAAACCCTCATGTTTCTGGGTTTATAGACACCTCTGAATTAAGATTAAGAAATATCCTCTTACTTGGTAATATTTCTACCGTACAGCATCTTGAGAATCTGGAGTTGCTTACAACCTTTCCAAAGATATTTCAGTGCTTTGTCAGTAAGATGAATGCAACCCGAGACATCCAAGGAGTGGCGGTAATGGCAGGCTGCAGCCAAGTATTGGATACAGGTATCAGTCATTTGTAAATGAAGCAAGAAGACACACAGAAGTTAGAAGGTTATTGAATAGCTGAAAGATAAAAACACAAAGTACAATTTTAGTGTTTGATTTGTGGGAAAACTATGTTTTAAAATACTTCCTGGAAGTAAAACTTCGGGCACAGCAGAATTCTTAATCTCTGTAAGAGGCCTTATAGGAACTGTCACTTAAATATCAGGAACGTATTAGGTATTAGTTAACTGTGATTCCAGTACATTCTAAAGTATTGTAGGATTTTTTTTCACATAATCAGAATGGTTTAACTTTCTCAACCTCGTAATTTTGCATGTAGCACATATAAGTCTTTAGCCTTACCTGCTATTGCATTGCTCTCGCTAAACTGTTAGGCTGCACTTACAGTTTAGTTATATCAGTTTTGTATCTCAGTTCTCTATTACAGGGAACAAATTCTCACACCAAGACTTTTTTAATGTGTAGTTGTTTTTCTTTAGCTCTGAAGTAGAGCTGCTTAGTTCCACCGCAAAATTCCATTCTTCTAAACTGATATTCACTGCCATTAATGCTGGAAGTTGCATTTGGAATACACATGAGACGGATTCTTTAAGGTACATAAGCAGTCATGCAAGCTACTTAATTACTCCACTGACCTCAGAGGAAACAGTCAAGAATAAATGATGTACATACTTTAATTACCTTGTTCAGTCAGGACCAAAAATCAAGGGGGGACATACTAAAGACCTTTTGAAGATACTTGATTGAAATCAGTGGATTTCACTTGCATTAAACAGCCAATCTCATGAGAATCTAAAAGGGACAAGGAGGCAAGATGAAGCTGGGACCTTGGATTGTGGAACAGAAAATTAGCACACTATCTTGTGATACAGTCCTCCTGGAATATAGAGGTAATTCTGTGCTTTGCTTATTCCAGATGTAGCTATATGCTCCATATTAATATCTGCAATAGACTAATAAATAGATTAATATTCCTATTGGAATAAAAATAAGTTGCTGACTCTAAAGTCAGTAATTGGTATCAGATGCATTTAAGAGAAATCTACATCATACACTCAAGCCTGTTCCCTTTTGAGGGCTGCATTACAGAATTAATTGTCCATAAAACTGTGTCTTCAGAACTTTGTTATTTAAAAAGCTGATTCATTTAACCAGAGATTTCTTTTCAGTTCCTGCTGTATTTTTCATGTGTAGGATATGTTTCCCACAACAACTTCATTTTTTTCCTATGAAATCTAAATTACTCTTGATTCAGGCTCATTCCCTGAGTAAGATTCAGAACTGCACTGCTGGATATTTTATAATATCAGCATTTTCAAAATGACTTGTACCTGTCCTAGGTATGCAGAAGCATGTCAGGGAGGCTCACTGCACTTTCACTGAAGCCAGTGGAGTTTGTTCAAAAGACAGTTTGCCCCAGTAGATGTGATTAAAATGATAAGCTCTTCTAATTTTAGAATAAAGTGCATAGCACATGCTAAAACATTCTTAATGGACATGTATTTCTATACTTATTTTTTTACATGTTCTCTTGCTATGATTTTTTTTTTAACTCTTTTTTTTTTTTTTAATATAATATATCTGATGTTGCAGGACATGACTGTCTGACATACTACCATATATCCTTTGCAACAGGTTCATTCTTATTTTAATCTCCTGACCATTTTTAAACAGTGTCTGAGTGGAAAATATTTCCTTACTTAGCAGCTGGATCCCCTCAATTTACACTAGAGATTGCCAAAGGATTTAAAAGACCCATTAGTTTTAAGATCCACAGGTGTGCCCATCTCATTTTATAGAGTTGAAAGCTGGATTCAAGTCAAAAAAAAGACTTGTAAACTTATGTGTAGGTTTATTTGAAAGAGTCTTGCTGTTCTTTTCTGAAAATAGTAGGGTATTAGCAGTTAACAGATTGGCTTTGTAACTGTTTAAAGAAAAGATACCATCTAGGAACAAAGCATTGTAAGGGGATTACTAGGTCACCGAGTCTACTTCTTGCTCCCATTTGCAGGAACTACAAAATATGACCCTTACCGAGAACATCCTAACATTCCATAACAGTTCCTTCCCAGGATGCTGTTTTATAATTCAGTGCTCTGATAATCAGAAATTCACACTTTTTCCAGCCTACATGTATCTACTGCCATTTTATAGGGGGTTTTGGGTTGGGGTTTTTTTTTTCCATGTTAGTCTATAAGGCATAGTGGAAAGCATGGCAGGGAAGACTGCTTGCAAAACTACCTTACTTAAACTACTTTGGGAAGATCTCCATGCACAACTTTTATTATTACTGTAATTATGGAAAAATAGCCTAATATCCATCTAAAAGCAAAGGATACAGCAGATTGAGACCTATGTATATAACAATTAATGGTGTACAGCAGGATTCCATAAGATATAAACCAAGGGCTATTGTAAGACATGGATCAACTTCCTTGACCTGCCAGTTCTGAGATAGCCTGTGGGTTTTGGCCTAGAGGCTGAGAAACTTATGAACTTTTGGAAGACTAACAAACTGATCATAATACAAATAATTTAGGGCTGGCTAACTAGTCAGCCAGGTCAGCTCAAACTAGTTGCCAGGAGGCTAAGGTGTTCAGCCACTGCAGTGAATAAGAGGACATGAGGATCATGTAGAGGACTGAAAGGATAGTCGAGGGTTATGGAAATGAGTGTTGGAGAGGAGAAAGGCAGGGACAAGCAATGGCTGCAGACATTGTGGAAAGAAACAGGACACAGGCACTTCAGTAGAAAAAAAGGGGGAAACTGGTACAATGAAATTTTAAAGGATTGTTCAAGACGAACTTTTCCAAAAGTAGTAATAAACTTTTTATATTCCCATTTGATAGTGATGAAAGCAACAGTACAACAATTGTTTTTTTCAGTGAAATTAAAAAAAAAATGAAATAAGCGCTGTAGAAATTGCATTAGAATGGTTATTGCCAAAATGCGGCAAGTATTTGTTTTTGCTATTAAGGAAAAATATTAAAAGCAGAGAAAAAGTTAAATGCACAGAAGCCAGAGGTCTTAAGTCAGAAAGTACAGGGAAGAAGATTTAGGCCTTCACAACAGCAGTCATTTCAAAAAGGAACGCAGGTTCTGATAGAGGAAAAAGATAATTGAGATGCAAGACTTTCATCAAAAAGAAATGATACAGAAAATACAGAAAATAAAAATGCTGCAGTGTGACCATTTTAAAGAGGAACTAAGTTTCGCTATACATGAAACTTAATCTAAATAAATTAATAGCTGGAAATAATTGTATTTTTTTGCAGATATCTAGACATCCTGAATGAAAGTTAGTTGAGCAGCTTTCCTAAAGAGACGTTAGCTGGTTGAATATGGCTGCAACTGCACATGGTTTTATTGGTAATAAATACCTACTAGACACAATACACTACACTGGACTCACCAAAGCACACTGATGACAGTGGGAACCACTAGCAAAAGTGCCACAGTATCTTGGATACTAAGGGAATATTCATATAGCCCTTGGATGACTAATTTTCTGAGTCTCCTTCCAGTAGTCAGTAGAGAGACAGGTCTTCTCAAAGAGAGAATAGGTTCTCTGACAGATGCTTTGTAGGAACACTTTTCTCCACTGACTATAAAAAACAGCATAAGGAAGACTCCCTTCCATAGGTGTAAGTTATCCAAATCCCTCATGTAATTTATTTTCCAAATGACTTTTTTCCTTGGGTTTAGAATCTTCAGAATATTTAAGCATGAATTTACATCTCTGGGTTCATCAGCTTTTAGGCACTACTGCTATTGTCAAAGTAGCCACTGCCCTGTCATGTAAAGCCACAGGTATAAAGTTCTCATGCCCCCATTTATGCTTTACCTGGGTTCAGAAAGAGCACTGGAAGAAATAAAGCATGAAAATACCAAGAGTTATTAACACAAGGACACCATGCTTTAGAAGCACCCAAAACACCAGAAGCTAAGAAAGTATTTGCAGGAAGTATCACTAAAAACTCTTCTCTCTTCACCCTTCCCTGGACATCAACCCTGCAGAGACAAACTCTGATACAGCACAGACACCTTTATGTTGTAACTACAACCATTAGAAGATTGTCAAACACTGTGAAGAGCCAAGTCTCAGAACTTAAAACTCGTGGTAAGTCAGCTGAACTTAAGCTCTGGTTTCTACATTAGTTGGGTACATTGTAGAATTGTGACAAGACACAGATGCCAGCAGGTCAGATTTCTGAATTAAATACTAGGTACCTCTTTGCAATAGCAATCCCAGAACTGTTGCCCCATTTCTTATACGTACCTTTGGACTGGACAACCTGCTATGTTGGCAGCTGTTAGGCTGTGGCAGTGAAATGCCAATGCTTTCACAGCTTCATCCATCAGCTGAGGGCAGTAAGAGACACAGCAGTGTTCCAGGTATTTTGTGCCCTTGCAGAACTCCTGCAAGACCAAGAAACAAACCAGTCATTCTTAGGTGACACACCCACTCTGTTTTTCTCAAATTATGATGCATTTACATCAATTCTTTGATCCAATTCAGGCACTTCAGTTTTCTAGGTACCCTTTATTACCAGTGAAGTAATTCAACTGCTGGCTGTGAATGTCACTAGAAAAAGAGAGAGATGCATTAAGAGGTTATTGCTTGTATATTACACTCTGTGTTCATTAGACTAACATTCATGTAAGTTCCATTGTATATATTAAAATATGTTTGATTTGGGTTCTTTAAATTGAGCACAACCTGGAACCTAAAGGTTTGTGCTTAAAGGGCCAGCCTCAAATACACTTCTACTCTCTGCAAACACCCATTTTTGTGTATGTTAACTTCTCTCTTTATTTTTACAAAAATGAAAAAACAACTGTATCTGTATAAATTACATTATTTTCTCAGAAAGGAATGGTTAAGAATCTCAGGACTGTCACTTGGGAGTTCTGGGTTCTGATTTGCACTGTGGAGCTCAGGCCAGTTAACTGTGGCTGAAGTGCCATGGAAT